AGGAAATGCAAGAAAGCAAAGTGGCTGTCCAATGAGGCCTTACAAATAGCAGAGAAGAGAAGGGAAACAAAATGCAAGGGAGATAGGGAAAGTTACAGAAAACAGAATGCAGACTTCCAAAGAATAGCAAGGAGAGACAAGAGGGCCTTCTTAAATAAACAATGCAAAGAAATAGATGAAAATAATAGAAAAGGAAAAACCAGAGATCTGTTCAGGAAAATCGGAGATATTAAAGGAACATTTTGTGCAAGGATGAACATGATAAAGGACAAAAATGGGAGGGACCTAAAAGAAGCAGAAGAAATTAAGAAGAGGTGGCAAGAATACACAGAGGAACTATACCAGAAAGATTTGGATATCCCGGACAACCCAGATAGTGTGGTTGCTGACCTTGAGCCAGACATCCTGGAGAGTGAAGTCAAGTGGGCCTTAGAAAGCTTGTTTAACAACAAGGCCAGTGGAGGTGATGGCATCCCAGTGAACTATTTAAAATCTTAAAATATGACACTGTTAAGGTGCTACATTCAATATGCCAGCAAGTTTGGAAAACTCAACAGTGGCCAGAGGACTGGAAAAGATCAGTCTACATCCCAATCCCAAAGAAGGGCAGTGCCAAAGAATGCTCCAACTACTGTACAATTGCACTCATTTCACACGCTAGCAAGGTTATGCTCAAAATCCTACAAGGTAGGCTTCAGCAGTATGTGGACTAAGAACTCCCAGAAGTACAAGCTGGATTTCGAAGGGGCAGAGGAACTCAAGACCAAATTGCTAACATGCACTGGATTATGTAGAAAGTCAAAGAGTTCCAGAAAAACATCTACTTCTGCTTCATTGACTATGCAAAAGCCTTTGACTGTGTGGACCACAGCAAACTATGGCAAGTCCTTAAAGAAATGGGACTGCCTGGTCACCTTATCTACCTCCTGAGAAACCTATATGTGGGACAGGACACAACAGTTAGAACTGGATATGGAAACACTGATTGGTTCAAAATTGCCGGAAGAAATATCAACAACCTCCGATATGCAGATGATACCACTCTGATGGCAGAAAGTGATTAGAAATTAGGGAACCTTGTAATGAGGGTGAAAGAGGAGAGTGCAAAAAACCATCTGAAGCTCAACATCAAATAAACTAAGATCATGGCCATTGGTCCCATCACCTCCTGGCAAATAGAAAGGGAAGACATGGAGGCAGTGATAGATTTCACTTTCTTGGGGTCCATGATCACTGCAGATGGTGACAGCAGCCCTGAAGTTAAAAGACGCCTGCTTCTTGGGAGGAAAGCGATGACAAACCTCAACAGCATCTTAAAAAGCAGAGACATCACCTTGCCGACAAAATTCTGAATAGTCAAAGCTATGGTTTTCCCTGTAGTGATGTACGGAAGTGAGAGCTGAACCATAAAGAAAGCTAACTGCTGAATAACTGATGCTTTTGAATTGTGGTGCTGGAGGAGACTCTTGAGAGTCCCCTGGACTGCAAGGAGAACCAACCTATCCATTCTGAAGGAAATCAACCCTGAGTGCTCACTGGAAGGACAGATCCTGAGGCTCCAATACTTCGGCCATTTCATGAGAAGACTCCCTGGAAAAGATGCTGATGTTAAGAAAGCGTGAAGGCAGTAGGAGAAGGGGACGACAGAGAATATGGTTGGACAGTGTCACCGAAGCTACCAACATGAATTTGACCCAGCTCCGGGAGGCAGTGGAAGACAGGAGGGCCTGGCGTCCATGGGGTCATGAAAAGACACGACTAAAGGCAGACAACAACAAAAATGATTTCACAGTGCGATGCTGAGCATACTTTATATTTCTGGATCAATATCAGGATATGCAAATTCTGCTCGATTCTGTATTGAAGGAAACAGTACAGGGGACCTGTGAAAGTCCAAAGACAAAACATTGTGTTCTAACATACCATGGAGCATAGAATTCAACCAGAATGATGTCAGCCTCATTCACAATTTCATCAAAATTATCTTTAGTCAACACTAATGTGGCATCAGGTGGAGGGATCCAACTAGGCTTTGAAACTTCTTTCACTTTTGCCACAATTTCTAAAGAGAAAATGGAAGGAAACAAATTTTAAAATGGTGCTTATTTTTAGCTAGGAGAAAAAATGACACTTTTGACGAGTTGGGTATATGGCAAAGAACAGGTTACACATAGCAAGGATGCATGGAAGGGCATATATGAGATCTATCCTCCTACCAGAACCTCTTCCTGGTCCGATAAAATCCAGCCACACTTTGCCTGGGCTTATTCAGCTCTCCCAACAGTCATGAATGAGCTCTCTTTGTTACGAGAGAAAGTACAGCAGGACACAAAGGGGTGTAGGCTAAATTCCTTATCTGACACCAAGAATAAACATTTCACTTGTTTGTTCTTTTAGACTCCAAACCTAGAATTCTTCAAGAATTCCTCATGCAGAATTTTGGAGTTTCAGTTGGCAAACATATAGTTGCAGACACCTTCATTTCCATCACTTAAGGTGTCCCAAAACGTCTTGGGGATGATAGCCTCACTCTTCATGCTCTATACAGGGTATTTCCTGAAGAACCATCACTCCCAGGAATCACTGGAGCAGCTTCAAGAAGTATTGCAGCAGGAAATGAAGGCTTAGAGGAAGGCCCTGAAGCTTTGTTCAGGTGACTGAATTGAAGGCCTGGCCTCTGTAGGTATGCATTTTTGGCTGGAACTTCCAGGATTCTTTCTATGAATTCTTGGAAAACTTCAGAATTTGGAGTAAAAACAAACAAACTAGGCCTTACTTTTAACTGACATAGGATTTCAAAGTTGCATTAACAAAGAACAATGTATGTGGGGAAATTGCAGTGTAAGTCCCTCACAGTAAATCAAAAGCTGCATCTGTCCTGTTTTGACATACAGACCAAGCCACCAGATAATTTTTACATTGTCAATGATTGAGTTAATTTAAAATAATGGACTAAGTAACCAAAGTCAATATGGGTCAAACTTTATGTACACAACTCATTTTCTAAAAACTATGGTACCTCTTCCAAGAATCTTGGTATCTTCTTCCCAGGCTTCTGCCCTAATAGAAGATAAATAAAGTCCTGGTCCATGGGGTCACAAAGAGTTGGACACGACTAAATGACTAAGACAACGCAAGTCCTAATATTTTACAGCTTCTCCGTTTCAAAGTGGCAAGACTGCAGAAGCCTTCCTTTAGCACAATACTCAGAAACAAGAAAAGACAATGTGCCAAACTTGCATACCCATTATCAAAGCATCCTATGATCACTGAAAATGGCCCTTTAGTCTTCCATTATTTTTTAAAAGCATCACTCATGGAGGCCTTGCTAATATGGACTAATTGTTGTCTATATGCAGCAATCTGTATTTGAAGCAGCACAATTTCCCATTCTCTTTTTATACGTTATACACAAAAATAAGACAACACGTGGTACTGCATACCTGCTTCTGTTCTTGAGCCTTCATAATCTACAGGTTGCCCTTTCTTTAGAATTTTGATTGTCGGATAACCACTAACATCAAAACGACTTGATAAAGTAGAGGCTGATGTAGCATCTACTTTGGCAACTGGAATAGGGGGATCATTTTCTTTCAGTGTCTTGGCGATTTTTTCGTATTCTGGAGCAAACTGCTTACAATGGCCACACCTGGAGGTATAGAGCGGAAGAAAATTTAGTGTTTAACTTAACTACTGAGTTTCCACAGCACATCAAAGTAAATATAAGGAACAGAATGTCAGATACACCATAGTGAAGCACAGAAAAGTAAAAACATACAGAGATCCTTTTATATATTTTGCACAAATTGGGAATCACAATAGTTACAAAAATTTTGCTATTTCCTGTGTGAATAGTCTCCTAACAAAAGTACTTTGCCTGCATTATACCTATGCTGGGTCTTTCACAAACAGGAAATAATGTACAATATTCACCATGACAACAAACAACATACATGTAGGAGAGGTATCTGCAGTTGATCAGTTTCAAGAGAGGCTATTAAAACACTAGGAGCAGTGAGCTTACCATGGGGCATAGAACTCCAGGAGCACAGTATCTTTGCCTTCAACAAAAGTATCAAAGTTTGCATCATTCAACACCAATACATCATTTTCTTCTTTCACTTCAGTATCATCGTCATATTCATCGTCATCATCTTCATCTTCCATCTCCTCTTTAACAACAAAATCTGATTAAGGGGTAAACAATCAATCTTTTCTAATTACAAAGTTTGTCATAGGAATGTCCATGAAATCCATTGATATGTTTTTAAAACGAATCCCAGATATTAGGTTGGAAACTCAGTGGGCAACACCGATGGGTTGTCAGGATGCTCAAAAATGTACTAGCAACTGTGAAGGATTAGGAAGTGGCATCTTGGTCAGTAAACAGACAAATATTTGGTTGGCTATCCAAATCAATACATAAAATTTGTATTTCCTGGGCACCCATTTCCTTTTCCTGTGATGTCACCCAATTCCCATCTCCCTAAGTTTTCAGTTATATCAGTAGTGCTCTTCATTACAGGTTTGTACAATACTCAATATACTAAACCCTCCAAAGGAGACATGCTGTTTTGTTGTTGTTGTCTCTATGAAGTTATAAACTGAGAAGCTGTCAAACATCTGTCAGGCTACGGTTATTAGAGTTTAGTTTGGTGTGGGCCACAAATTATTCCAGCCATTACTAGTTAGATAAAAGTAATGAACTGTGCTAGTGGTCAGAATTAACAAGTCTACCTCAACACGGAAGAAAAGGTACAGTTAAAAAACCTTTTCTATAAATCAAGCCTGGGGAAGGTTTGTCTCTAAAAGTTGGTGGACTGCAAATTTTATAGTGCTTCCCAATCTTGGGTCATCAGATGTTCTTGGACAAAAACTCCCAGAAATCTTGGCCAGCACAGCTAGTGGTGAAAACTTCTGGGAGTTTTGGTCAAAGAACATCTGGGGACTTAAGGTTGGGAACCATTCCACTAGTGCCTTAACTGAATAGCTCAATAAGCTAAATATCTGGTGGCTATGGAGCCAGAAGTTGGGAGTTCAATTGCCCACTGTGCCTCCCAGGAGAAAGAGCCAGACTGTGTAGCTTTGGGCAAGCTATGAACTTCAAGAGTGCCCCAAGAACAGAATGGTAAATAACGTCTGTGTAGTCTATACTTAGAAAACCCTAGAAAGGGTTCTCATAAGTCAGAATTAACTTGCCAGCGCAGAATAAGAACCTATTGTTATTCACTATTTGTTCTGCAGATGGGAATTGCAGGCCAACACCAACAGAGACTCATGTTTTCCACCTCTAGTGTAAACAAATGAAAGCTTTTCTCAAATACAGTGGTGCCTCGCACAACGATTGCTTCATACAACGATGAATTCACACAGCGATGGGCTTTTTTGAGGAATTTCCCCCATCGTTTAACGATGTTCTCTATGGGGGAATTTCACTTAACGATGTCCCTTTTTGCTCATTTAAAAGTGTCTTAAAATGTTTGAAACCTGTTTTAAAGGCTTGGATTCCATAGTGCACCTTGTGAAACATGTGCAAACTTAATTTGGTTTTGTTCTGAGTCTTCATTAATTTTTG